TAATTCTTATATATTTAATAAAATGACCTGAAATTGGAAAAATCGAAAAAATATTTAATCTTAAAGTATAATCCTTGTATGTAATTTTGATATTGAATTTGTTATTTACACTTATGTAGTTTTTAAGATATTTTTAATGGCATAAAGGCCGAGAATTGTAAAAAAATGTCATTTTGCCACTTTGAACCCTAATATCTCCAAAAATATAAATGTAAGAAGTTAAAATTTTAAAAATTTCTTAATTACATTAAACTTTCTTTGCTTAACAAATTTTAAAAAAATCGAAGAGTGTAGGCTGACATTTTTTTCTCATTTGATATGGAATGACCCTATTTCATTATTTCGTCATTATATCAATTTCAGGTTAATAACAACTTCTACTTACTCTTGAACTTTAATGATATCTAATACCATCTTAACTTTCACATGAAACTTAATATATAACAATTTATTTTTATTTTATTAAAAATGTAAAAATAAAGATGTAAAATATAATAGATCAAACTTTCTTTCTTTCATTATTAAACAAAAATATTAAAAAAATATATAGTGCATATAAAGAAATTAATTATAATTAAATTAGACAATTAAAAAGGTGAGATGGGTTTATTTGCATTGTTATATGGAATCATGAATAGCAAGCAATGCAATTGCTTTGATGAATGGGTATCATAATGACCTGCTTTACATATAACAGCAACTTTGCGTGAACTATGAGCCACTTAAGACAATTGGTAAAATAATCAATCTTATACATATATTATTGTTAACATCTTTTCCTGATTAGTTTTAAAATAAAAAATTTTCAATTTATACTCATAGAGGGCGTGTCTTGGTCTTGTGGGGTCAGGAATATTTTATCAACACAAAATATCGATATGGGTATCAAATAAAAGCTAATCTTGTTTTAAAATAAAAAATTTTCAATTTATAACATTTAAACTGTAAAAGAAAGACATTAGAAAAATTTAAACTTCTATAAATAAAAAAATCCCATTTATAAATATCTTTTCAAATATAATTTCTAACATAACTAATAAATCTCATATTTTATAGATTATTAATTAAATGGGAAATTTAATTGGTGATGTTTATGACCATGTATAATTTTTGCAGGATTACTGGAATCTAGTGTTGTTAAATGGCACGATTTTTAAAAACGGCTAACCCAATACTTTAGCTAAAGATATTAGATAAGCCTGGAGATTTTGCTCAAAGGCAGAAAGGTTTGGACATCTACAAGCTGTGTTGGCTAAAATATTAGGATAGCCACTTTTAAAAATCGAGCCATTTAACAACACTACTTGAATCCTTATCTTCAGAAAATAAAGAAGAATAAAACATGTAGGAGATTTATTAGTGCATATAGTGTGGTTAGCTCTTAATAAAAATACACTTAAAAATTATTTCATTTCAAATTAATGGAGGCTTATTACAATTGCAAATTAATATATAAAATAAGGTAAAATATTTTATCCTCTATTGTTTTTAATAAATAGGCATGAATATTTAATAAAGAATAAATAAATCTTAGTAAAAATTTAGAATATAAATGATTTAATCAATATGAAAGCCAAGCATTCAACATGATAATAGTATATTTTTATCAATCATTAATATTAAAATTTAAAAAATAGGGATGATATAAAACCAATCTAATAATTGATACTGATCTGATATTTAGATTGATTTTTATTTACTATTTATCAGAGACCTGCAGAGGTACCATTTGCACGGCCCGGCCCGGATTTAAAAATTTAAGGCCCGGCCCGGATATTTTTTTAAAAAAAAATTTCAGGCCCGGCTCGGAATTTTTTAAAATTATATTCGACCTGGTATGTACAAAAATTCACCTATGAGGTATTTTACCATATTTTTCAGCGAGTATTATCGCTTATTATTTAAAAAATGCATGTAAAAAGCTAATATTTTGAGAATATTATATTGAATTTATAAAAATTATAAAACTGTTATTTATAAAAATGGATATTTTGAGCATATACTATATTTTATATTGCATTTATAAAAATAAAACTAATATTCATAAAAATGGTAATATAATTTGATACTATATTTTATATTACATTTAAAAAAAATAAAACTAATATTTAATTTTTAAAAATGGAAAATATTTTGAGAATATAATATATTGTATTTAATTTATAAAATAAAAATAAATCGCTATTTAAAAAAATGCATGTATAATAAATAGTATTTTGAAAATATAATCTAATTGCACAATATTAATATAATTTATTTTATAATATAAATTTTTAACAAAAGAAGATAATTGTATTATATAATATTGTAAAAAAAAATAATGAAAAATGTTGGATTAAAAACTTTCATGACACAAGGTAAATATAATAAATGCAATAAATATTTGACAGTTTGCAAAGTAAAAAACCAGCATGATTGACGAAACCCTATACTCAAGAAAGATATTAAAAATTCACAAATTATCCCGAAGAAAGAGAAGCATATCTACTTTTTCAGGCTGAAGATTACTTCTTCTTTCTTCAAGAATTCTCCCAGTAGTGGAAAAATTCCGCTCACAGCTTGCACTTAAAGCAGGAATTGCCAATTTTGCTAAAATTGGAAATTCGCTTTGATGAGCCGCCCACCACTCTAACAAATTATTTACCTTAAATGTTTTATCTATTATTTATGTAATTATAATATTCATCATCGGGTATTGACATATTACCAGAATTACCATCGCCCCATTTGTCATAAAACGATTCAGTTTGTTTAACAACAGTCGTAATTTGACTGGTCGATGGTATTTCATTTACTTCCTGAGCCTCTTGTAATTTAATATAATCTTTTATATAGTTTTCCGTCATTTTGTGATCTGTCCCTGACTACATACGTAATTGCTTGAATTTGGGACAGAGAAAAAGAGAAATAAAATGATACTTGTGTAAAAAAAAATTTTCAATTAAAAAATGCTTTATATTAAGTAAAATCAATTACAATCTTTAAGAAGTGATAATCCTTTATTTGATTGTTTTGGTAAACTATATTCTAAAAATTTAGATATGAATTATAAAAAAATATATTAATAATACTTGAATATTGAGGCTTATTTAAGATATTCCTTTATTTGATTGTTTTGGTAAAATATGTTGTAAAAATTTAGATATGAATTATAAAAAAATATATTAATACTTTGAATAAATTTGCAGGAAATTAATAATTAGATCGATCTATGGGTTGTTAGGTAGTGTTAACCATCACCCAATATTATATTAATCATAACTATAATATAATATAATCTTATAACCATTAACTCATAATGTAAAAATTTTTATAAAAAATATTAAGGCCCGGCCCGGGCCGGATATATTAAAAAAAATTTTTTTTAGGCCCGGCCCGGATATGTTTAAAAAATTTTTTTTTAGGCCCAGCCCTACCTGGGTATATTTAAAAAATTTAAAATACGGCCCAGCCCTGCCCGGGTTTAGGGCCGGGCCTGCAGGTCTCTGCTATTTATCTTTGAAACAATTTCATTAAAAAAATATTTTCAAAAAATATCTAATTGTAAACTAGTTGAAGCAAGAAATTCTATTCTAATTGCTAAGGCAATATTATGTATTGCATATTATTTTTTATATACATAGCGTGACTTGTTAAATATTCTTAAATCCTTTTTGTGTTGCAAATATTTAATAAAAATAATAAAATCACATTTTTAGGTATCCTTCCTTTAAAAAAACTCAATTTTTTAAAAGATTACAAATAAATTCAACTATAGTTTCTTCTATTCATTTATTATTGGGAAATTAAAAATTATGTATGAAATAAAAATAATATATAATTATATACACATATAATAACCCCAAAATATGATATTTAAAAATATAAGCTCTATAAAATATTTTTTATAAACAATAAATAACTATCTAGATTAGAGGTATATAATGGGTGGATTTTAACCTAAATGCCTACCTTTTCCTTGTTTTTAAAATTTAGCCAGATTGCCTGTCTGCCCACCTGGCCTTTGTTTTAAAAAATGTACCCACTCACCCATTGATTTTTATAGAAGTCTGTTCATTTTGCCCAAAAAGATATAAAATCTATCAGCCCATTATTTTAAAAGTATTTTTTATCCCATTTCTGCCTAATGTTTAACATTTTTTTAAAAATCCTGTGCAGCCACACCCACCCATAGAATGGACAGGAAGGTTAAAAACCCACCCATTGCAAACCACTAGTCCAAATCCAATGTTTAATATTAACAGCCTTATTAAATGCTAATTTGTATAAAAAACGAAAAGTGAGCACCTCTTATAGCTTAGATCAATGAGTTATATAATATTTGGTATCTTTTAACAAATAATGATATATATTTAAGAAACTAAACAACTTCAAATATATACTAGACAATTTTAGTTTATAAATTAACCTTTTAATTGTGTTTTGAAATATATTTTCTATATACTGCCTAGAAAATAATTATTTTATAATAAATATAATGCCCATTTTGATTAATTTACTACCTAAAATTTATAAGTTCTGCCAAATATTTTTAATGCAAAAAATAAAATATAGGCCTAATTAATTTTTTTTGAATTTAAAAAAGTTTATCAATTTTTTAACGAATTATAAAAATTTTAGATTAAAATTTATAAAGTTGTGAAATTCTTACAAAAAAAAGTAAGCTATGTTAATTTATACTTTTCAAATTAAGAAATGAGTAATTATATTAAACAAAATGTAAAATATGAATAGGAATTAAAAAATAATTTCCTAGAAATTATAAAACTTTAAAAAAAAATTAATGGAAGCTTTTGGACAGGTTTCATAAGAAAATTATGAATTTTTCTAAATATATATAGATCACCGTCTGATAAAAATTTGGCCTATTTTTATTAATTCAGAGACTAAGATAATCTAAGGCGTTTCTTCTAAATTTTATACTTTTCTGACAATGATTAACACGTTAACAAGATATAGGAATAATTTTTAAACGTGTTTTATCAGAAATTATGCAATACCTGTGATTTTGCCAAATTTTATTCCTCCATTCAATAATTTATCAATATTTTTTGAAGATGTAGAAATATATTGATCCATACGCATATCATATCATATCATATTATACACTGAGGAGACATCCCACAATTCAAATTTTTAAATAATCTAACAATGCCAGAAAATAAATCGTAACATATGCCATCCGTCAATAACCCATATTTAAGTTCCGAATCTTTGACATAACAAAATATTATTTACAATTTTTGAGTAAAATATAAATAATATTCATTGAAAGGAAGAAGAAAATATTGATGTTAGGGAGTATTGCTAAATAATTTTTTATCAACTATATTAAATAAATGAAAATTCTGATATTAATAATAAATTAAATAAAAATATATACTTAGGAATATAGGGCCATTTTGTAATTTGCACGTCAACTATTAGTCTTACTTATCATTATTATGTACATATTAATGTTATATTAATCAACATGTAAACAACAAAGTGGCGCCACACTTAAGGGGAGAGATGAGGGTAGAAGTGCCTTCATTATGTAAATTCCTGTTTGCAGCAATATCTCTTTATTATTATATAGATAAAACAACTGAGGGCTATTGCATTTTAATAATATACAACTTATGTTTAAGAATGGAACTTAACAATACATACATACATTACTTTAATTTAATCTAATCTTTTATCTATCTCTTACGATAGCTTTTAACAAAAAATAAGAAAAAAACAGTTTAAACTATGCTAATCTATTTTATTAATTATCCATAGCGCTTTTTTTGATAAAATTCCTCTCATTCATATAAACATGTGTTTTTTAAATTTATCATGACACAAGATAAATCTCTAGTTTATGAGGTTCAACATGACTGGGGGAATAGAGAATACATTGAGATAATGACAGGAGGGATACAAAAAATGGCAGATTTTTTAATATCATTTGGTAGAATAGCAATTTAAATGATATATATATATCTTTATTTAGAGTTATCATGTAGATATAAATTATCTCAGATTAATGAAAAATTAACATACCTGGAAAAGAAGATGGATTACCTAGAAACATATGTATATATATATAGTATGGATTTAACTTATTTAATATTATTAGATATTGGGTACTAATAAAGAATGCATGAATACTTCAACTATTTAAATTCACATATGCCATATTTATTTAACATTTTTTAGCTTTTTCACATATAAATCCTGTATTATAACTAATCATACAATTTTTCTTTCCCCATTTATAATTTAGATATGATTTTAATGTGATACATGATTCACTTGATTTAATCCAAAATAAAGGATCTTCTATCCAATTTTGATAATTAATTAATTCACCACTTGATGCCCATGTCCATCTACCTTTTTGAATCTTATCAGTTCCACTAGTCCAAAAATCGATATCAAGAGCTTATAAATAATGAAATTATATAAAACCTTTTGAATTTAATATTAGTATATAAAACGATTTAAAGTTTTGTTGTTCAGTTGGATCAAACTCAAATTTATGCAGGGCTCTAGTACATATAGAACTTTATTTTTAAAAATGGTATTAAAAATTTTTAAATTTAAGTGATATAAACTTAGAGGCTTCTTTAAGCACCATAGATAACAAAAAATAATATTTATAAAACTAAAATAAAAGTACCATGATTCCTGAGGACCATTTTGATAATTTCTTTCCTAATTGCCTTGTCTTCTTCCCCAGTCTCAATACTCACCAATTCGGCCCCTTGCTCTTTGCAACGTTGAAAAGCTTTAGGCCAGTTTTCTCTCTCAAAATGGATCAAATAACAAGAATTAACTGATTTTACATAATTTTCTGGGCAACAATTTTGCTCACCCAATGATTTCACATTGATTACTGCAGTCTTTTTAAATGACGGGGAATAATTTCTTTTAAATATGAGAGAATTTTGCTTAGGTTTTCTGTTATATTCTTTTATGGGTGTAGTGTAATATAGTGTTGTTGCCTCTTTTTCTTGTTTTTCTTTATTTAGTTCAATGATGTTGGAATCAGGTTGAGTATGTAATATTTCTTTAACATCTTTCACTTTCTATAGGCATTAGTTATTATTTTGAAACAGCAAAGTATTAATTTATAGGATCATTGTTTTCAAACAAACATACAATGAGGATATAAATTATGTAAACAACACTTTTTTTTAAAACATTTTATCCCATTTTAATTCCAATGTCATTGATAAACAAATGTCAATATCCCTATTTTTACTGTTCTTTCAAACAGAGTCCGTTTTAGAATGAGGATTTTTTTATAAAAATTTAATTTTTTTTTTCTATAGAAATCTACTTTCAAATTTATTTAAATGAATATTGCTTCCCAAAATGAGTGTTTTTTAACAATTAAAATTTTGCATTTTTGATATGAAAAATATGTATTACGCTACTATAGTTGTTTCTAAGATTCATTTATGTAATTGTTTTTCTAATGAAACATAAAATATATATTTTGTGCTCTCATAATCGTTCGAAATTAAAAACCAATAAATTCCAATTTAATTATTTACCTTTCCTTTATACGGCAATCTATATTTCAATTTCGGTATATATTTCGCTCTATATTTTATCATTTCCTGCGATCTGTAATTTGAATCATTCTTTCCGTTCGCATACATTTTGTAAAGTTGAACCAAACTTTTATTTTTTTCAGATCTGCATATATTTTGTGCCTCAACTTCCAAAATATATTTACCATTCAAATTATAATAATGTATAAAAAAAAGAATTTTACCTGCAAGTTTTAACAATTCCATATAATTTTTAAATTCTTTAAATTTTTCCGACATTGCTGAATAAATTTGACCTAACTGAAAATTTAATAAATTAATGTCCTTTCTCAATATGGCATTAGAAGTTTTATTAACATCGCAATTGCAGAGTAAGAAGTAAGCCAATAGACTTACTATTATGTAATTCATTTAAAAAGGTAAAAATAATTTATGAATTCTTTATTTAGCATCGATAAAATATATAAATATTATAAATTAGGGTAAGCCTTTTTTTTTAATAAATTAAAAAATAAATAATATTTAAATGAAATTTAAAAAAAGAATTAATTTTAAGGTTGTCTAATAATAATGATGAGGACTTCTCCTTTTTCTGAAAAATCCTTGAGGTCCTCCAAAACCACCCATTCCAGCACCACCCATAGCGTTGAATCCTACCCCTAATCCAGCTCCACCTAGTCCAAAAGCACTGCCACTAGCACCAGGAAAACCTAATAATAATTGGTAAATATATATTACACAAAATAAAAATTAACCTTGTCCTCCCAATCCACCTTGAGCTCCACCGAATCCACCCTGAGCTCCACCGAATCCACCCTGAGCTCCACCGAATCCACCCTGAGCTCCACCGAATCCACCCTGAGCTCCACCGAATCCACCCTGAGCTCCACCGAATCCACCCTGAGCTCCACCGAATCCACCCTGAGCTCCACCGAATCCACCTTGAGCTCCACCGAATCCACCTTGAGCTCCACCGAATCCACCTTGAGCTCCACCGAATCCACCTTGAGCTCCCCCGAATCCACCCTGTCCTGTCGAACCTTGTTCAGTTTGTCCATTTCGCCCGAACCCGGAGCTTGGAAAATTTGATAACTGAGATTGTTGGCGTGATGTAGGAATTTGTTGCTGGCCTTTCAATATGTTCATTAATGTTGTAATTAGCAAATCTAAATCGTTTTGAGATGTGGAAATAGGTGCAGTGGATCGAGATTGAGGTTGCTGGAATTGTGTAAGGTCTATGGCAGTGCTTGTTTGAGGTGTTTGTGTACCTAAAAAATTAGATAAGTCCAATATTTGAGGTTGATTTTGAGATTGACGAGGCGCGGCCAAGATTTGAGCTAGTTGAGGTTGGCTTTGAGGTTGACTAAAAAGGCTTGACACATCTATTGTCCCGGTTCCAAAGGAGGGTTGAGCGGGACCGAAAATGGAGCTCTGCGCAGTTTGGCCACCTAATAGCCCACTTTGCCCAGAGGCAAATTGCACACCTTGACCAAATCCCAAACTCGATTGACCACTTTGACCAAGTCCCAAACCTTGACTAAATCCCAAACCTTGACCACTTTGACCAAATCCCAAACCTTGACCACTTTGACCAAATCCCAAACCTGATTGACCACTTTGACCAGAAAACATACCAGTCATACCTAAATCCGAACTGGTGGCAAAAGGGTTGAAAAGACTAGAACCGGAAATTCCGAATTGCGTATTTTGGCCTTGAGTCTGTTGAGGTAGTCCAGATAAACTACCTCCTGGGATCCCTGCAAAAGATGTAGCTCCTCCAGTAGAACCACCAAAAGATGAGAAATCTTGAGCTAAAGTGCCTGTGCCGAAAACAAGGGTGATGATTAGAAAATTATACCAAAATTCCATTTTTATTTGAAATATTTTAAACGTAGAAATAGAAAAAATATTTTTTTTTTTTGAAAAATTTATTTTATAAATGGAAAATAAATTCGGACAAAAACTGTTTATAGTTAAGCATTGCAAAAAAATTCTCTTTATATACCTACCTCCACAATTAATAATTTTAATATTTAATATTTATTTTTGTATTTAAATCTTAATATGGAGTCATTTAAACTTTTTGCATAGTATATAGTTTCGAATTTTGTAACATCCATAAGTTTTGATTTTTTTATAAAAAAAAGGCTATTTTAATTTTATTAATGCTGGGAAATTAGAATAGCGCCGTTTTTTCCTCTAAAATACGTTGTCCTTAGAATAACAAATATTTTAAAATGAGATAATATATATTTCTTATTTTTAATACTATTTACCTATAAAATAAATTGGTCAGATTAACATGACCTTACGAAAATTTGTTTTTTATTTGTTATAAAATAAGAGAGTGGGAAAAACGAAAGAATGATATATATAAAAAAAAAAATTTAATTTGATAATTTCCTAAATAAATGACTATATAATCATAATTTAGATTTTAAAATCGAATGGTCACTTTATGAGCTTGAATATAAGAAAAACTCTAATGGGGTCTTATATAGATAAAAGGTAGAGAGAATAACCCGTAAATTTTTAAAGGCAAAAGATGTCTCAATGAGCATTATAAACTATTTGAAA